TTACTTATTCTAAGTATCTGGAATATTCTGATACATCCGAAGACAGATTGAGTCAATCTAAATAGAAAAGTCTTATACCATTTTGCAAATATTCATAATAATTATTGAGAATGATTAATTAATACATATGATAATTAATACATGTGAATTAATACATGTGAATGAGCGCGTGGGAAACGATGGCCCGAACTTTGTAGACGTGTATGATTTTACGTTGTAAAGAAATATGGGTTACTTCATGATATCTCCTAACAGTAAAAAAACATACAAGCAAGCGACATGTAACATAGCTTCTTACGATCAGCTGAATTTCTTAACTGAAAATTATACACGCCTACAGAGTCCAGACTAGCGCTTCCTATGCGCTCATTGGATCACATGTATTAATTATATTATTCAATAACTATTGCAAATTTTGCAAAATCGTACATGACTTTTTGATTCAGATTAATTTACTTTCACACTTCGACTTCGCGTCAAACTTTTTCAGACATTCTGAATATATAGCACATAATATCGATATCAAATCGACTTGTCAATAATTGGTCGAAATTCGTCTCCATTTTTAAGTCGAATCGACTACAAATTTCAACCGTCGATCGACTAGTATAATCGTCGTCGAATCGACGTCGATTCGACAAGGTATTTCTGACTGGGATTATTCTTATATATAATTTTTAACAAGAACCGACATAATAAAAAGTAGAGGTTGGCACTATTTAGTTTTAAACGTTTCCACCAAGTAAAATTTTATGTCAATTTGCTGCCACTCCGATAAACCTTGCCCCTGTTCGATTATTACTGGCAGTACTGAAAAATCTAAAATATATGTAACGTGAATCTATAGATTTTCATTACTGCCAGTAAAAAACGAACGCACCCCTTATAGATCGAAGCGGGAGTGAAATGAGCGCAATTTAAGGTGTTTCCATCGACTTAGGGCGCTTTCCAGCAACGTACACAGACGACACTGTAGGTACGTTCAGACAACTCAACAGTTGAGAGATCATCACTTATGATAGGACTATTCTTCAAAATCTGCTGCGGTTCCAAAAGTATGATCCAATCAAAAGTGATTATCTCTCAACCGTTGTGCAACTGTTGAGTTGTTTGAATGCACCCTGTGTAACACAGTGTCCACTAGTGTGAGAAAGAGCATATCAGTGTGTCTCACTCATACTAGTGGACACTGTGTTACACAGCGTCGCTTGTGTACGTAGCTGGAAAGCGCCTTTAAATTTGATTTTACGTCGCATTAGGTGTGAATTAATGCTCGGTGGTAACTAGACCACAATGTCCATTAGTGTGAGAAAGATCATATCAGTGTGTCTCAGTTACACTAGTGGACACCGTGTTGCACAGTGTCGCCTGTGTATGTAGCTGAAAAGCTCCTTGAGTCACTACTTGTGTCCATTTTCAATATCTAAAAGCTCAAAAATCTCGCCACAGTAACCACAAAATTCTCAATTTTTTATTTTTGACGCCGGTTATCAGAATTTAAAACGTCTTGTACTTGATTTAGACTAAGTCTTGTACTTGGTTTAGAGAAAAAATCATACTGCGCATAGAGAAAAAAGCGAGTAAAGATATCGTTGCGTGCGGGGCACTTGTGAACAGCCAATAGCTGTGGAATGATAAAACTTTCTAGTAAAAAAAGTGCGCGAAACGGACGAGTTTTTGTTTTTTTGGTTTCTCTTCTCAAATTGAACGCAGTATTAGAGCCGAAGCACAGGGCTATGTGCCAAAACAACGGACTTTTGCATAAGACTAGATCCTTAAGGTACCTTTTCATATAGCAGCACGCTGCGGCAGCAAAACGTCACGTGACTCAAATTTTCTAGGACTGCTTCCGCTAGGTATATTTGCTGCTCTTACCTAATCTTTACCTAATCTTTACTCGATGCCATTCTCTGCGAAACGAACAAAAAGCATCAAAACCGGGAAAATTTTATTGTTGATACTTATGCAAGCATACTTATTGTTGATAACTATGTAATTCCATCAACAGTTTCAGTTTCAGTTTGCACTTTTGGCTCAGCGAACCTATAAAGTTAGTCCATACGCCATTCTACGTCATTTTTTTAACAGATTCTAGATCTGTGCAGTTTCTTTTGCCTACTACCACGCGATACACAGCCTTCTTTCACAGTGGGCGTGCCCATCTGTGTCGGGCTCGTGCTCGAGATGTTGTGACTCTGATTGCCTTGTGGGAGAGAGATTCATTCGAGATTACACTCGAATTACTTTTTGGAGTCTCGATTTAGTTCACCGATCAATCGATAAACTCGATTGAAAGGGACCGGCCCGGAAAAAATCCTTAGGTAGTGAGCGGATTCGAACTCGAGACCTCCGAATTCGCAGCCCCTGCACTCAAGCCGCAAGACCACTGGGCCGGTTAATTCCATCAACAACAAAGAATGGCATCGAATGAGAGTTAGGTAAGAAGCAAATATATCTAGCGGAAGCAGTCCTAGAAAATTTGAGTCACGTGACGTTTTACTGCCGCAGCGTGCTGCTGTATAAAAAGGTACCATTATGCAAACACCAGCGCTTTGACACCAAGCATTGATTGGTAAAAAATAGTGGTTAGGGTGTGCTAATCCTCACCCCGCTTTTAACAATCAAGGAAGCAGCCAATCAAAGCCTTCTAGATTAAGAATTTTCTTCCCCGCTTTAATATAGCGACAAATATCGCAATACTAAAGTAATTTATTTGAGTTTTGCAAACAAAACAAATTATGAGCAAATTAAAAATAATTATTATATAAAGACATAAAACACCAAATATCCATGAATTTTTGTTTGAAATCCGTAGATTCGTAGGCGAGATAAAAAATCTGTAGATCTACGGAAAAATCCGTAGAAATGGCAACACTGGCACAAATGTCTATGGCTTAATTTACACAGATCTAGTTTTCACCGAAATCCTCAATTTGGTTCCACTCAGGCTAGATCCTCATGGAGACACCGGCGCTTTGACACCGAGTGTTGATTGGTGAAAAGCGGGTGGAGAAGGTTGCCATTTACCCTCACCACCTGCTTTCATCGATCAACGCTTGGTGTCAAAGCGCCGGTGTCTGCATGAGGATTCAGCCAAGTAAATCAAATTTAGTGTTCCGTTTCCATTGGAAATGGAATTATAGGAAATCTAAAGGTGCTTTTTTATGTTGTCGCTTGCCGCTCATTTTTAGCGATAGAATGATCACGTGACTGAACATATCGCTGTCTTAACTTATCGCTCATGAAAACAAAAGTAGCGACAGAATACAGTGATTTATTATTAATATAACCTAATAAATATTAAATGCTAAATGTGAGAGGAAATGCTTGATTACAAGAAAGAGAGTTGAGCATATCTATTGAAAGTTAAGGCAAGAGACGAAAAAAATTCGAAATGTCTTACGAAGAAAAATATGCAGAATGGATTTTTGAATGTATAAATATATTTAAAATTTGGTATAGAAACGTGCAGCGTCGTCAAATAGCAACAGCTGCGTTATGACAGTAGAAAAAAAGCAAAAAAGAAAATACAAAGAAAACGCCACTGGGTAAATCCAATTTTTCAAGCTTATCACAAATATGGTTTTTTTCATGTATCCCGCTGTAATTTCACAGATGAACAATTTAACAACTATTATCGTATGACTGCAACTCAATTTGAGCAATTATTAGATTTAGTGGCTCCTATAATTACAAAACAAACAGTTATTCGCGAAACAATATCTGCAGCTGAGCGATTATCTATTACATTAAGATAAATATTTTTGCATTCATTATTATCACTAGTCGTCAAGACTCGTACTTTTATATTATTAAATTTTTTTCACTTAATCTAATGCAGGTATTTAGCAACTGGAGATTCAATAACATCAATTTCTTTTCATTACCTAGTTGGAATTACAACAGTTGCCAATATTATTGGTGAAACATGTGCGACTACTTGGAAATGTCTTCATACAACTGTGATTCCTCCAACAAAAACCCAAGAAAATTGGTTAGCGATTGCTCGAGAATTCGAGGATAGCTGGAATTTCAATCATTGTATTGGTGCAATTGATGGAAAACACGTTAAAATCGAAGTAAGTACACTCTATCAGTGGTGTTGAATAAGAAAATGAGTCAATAAAGGTATGATTTTTTTCAGTGTCAACCAAATGTACGTTCTGCATACTTTAACTACAAAAATCATCACAGTATCGTCCTACTTGGCATTTGTGATGCACAATATTTATTTACATTTGTTGATATTGGAGCCTACGGTCGTCGAAGTAATGGCGGTATCTTTCGTGATTCTATCATTGCTCAAAACTTCGCTAATAAAAAGATGAATGTGCTTGATGAGAAACTTTTTTCGCCAGATGGACCACCTTTGCCATATGTTTTTGTTGTTGATAAAGCTTTTTAGTTGATTGCTTATCTATTAAGACCATATCCTGGAAAAGCCGGCTTAAGAGGGTACTGAATATTGACTATAGAGACCTGTAAACCGACGTTTCTCCTAAGTCCTTTGGAGTCGTATTTACTGCATTAAATTTAAAATGTTTCTACAGAAATAAATAAATAGTTTCAAAAGGCATTATATATCTATTTTCGAAAGCACTTGTTTATATGTATTTGCTTCTATAGAAGCACTTTTTATGTAATGCAGTAAAGAAACTTAAAAATTAGAGAAATTTAGGTTTTTAAAACGTCGGTTTACAGGTCTCTATCCAGTTTACAGGCCGGGCTCCAGTACCCTCTTAAGCCAAGAACAACATATCTATAATTATTGTTTAAGTCAGGCGAGGAGAACAATTGAGAACACATTCGGTATCATTGTGAGCCAGTGGAGAATTGTACGTTGGCCAATTAATTGTAGTGTGGATAAAACCATAACTATCGTTCAAGCCATTGTATGTTTACATAACTGGCTTCGGAAAAGAGATATTGGTATCGATGAATATGCATCACAAACAATTGTAGATAAAGACAATGCAAATGGATTTGTTCCGGATTCTTGGCAAGCATTGAGAAGCATCATTGACAATAGTGCATTAACAAATGTTAGTAAGTGTGGTTCTAATAACACAACTCGTGAAGCAATAGCTATTAAAAATGAATTTTGTAAATATTTTTATAGTGATGGTGCCATACCGTAGCAGTTTGAATATTGTTAGTATAATTTTTAAAAATAAACTTAAGCTTCAAGCTCAACATTATTATCAATCTTTGGTTGTCACACTTGTTTGAATCAAATAAAAATTGACCCAGTGTGACAACTACGTTCCAAAAAGGGGTGACAACCGAAGGTTAATAATTTACCATCATTCATTTATTATTATGTGCCATGTATTATGCAAGTCTCAATATTTACAATAATGTACGCACCTACATTTTTATTACAACATAATAATATAATAATATAATGTAATATAGTATAATATTAATAATATAATATTATAATATAATAATAATAATAATTTATTTATTATAAGTTACTATAGTTTCTGCATATATTAATCTTAAGAGTCATCCTCATTAACAATATTAAAAATCATTTGCATCACTCTTCTTCGTTTTCTTTCATCCATAATTCTTAATCTATATCCTTGAAACTCCAGAAAAGCACTAATCTCATCTTGTTGTCGCTGTGGTGGAGGCGGTAATACAAGAGATGGAATTGGTGTTGCAAGTGAGTCGGCGATTTTAGACAATATTTCTAAACGTTCGCTTTCACTTTTTTCTTTTTCTTGAGTCATCTGAAATGATATCATGACAATAATAAGAATACTAATAATTGCCCCGATAGCTAAATGATAGCAGTATGCCAGCAGTATGCACGCAGATTTAATCAGCACTTTGCAGCAGATTCCACTCAGCTGTGTCATCATAGTGAGTAAGGCTGGATCCTTATGCAGACACCGGCGCTTTGACACCGAACGTTGATTGGCGAAAAGCGGGTGGTGAGGGTAAATGGCAAGAAAACGGCGCTAAAGCAACGGAGCTGTCATGATTGAATTTTCCATGATTTTTTGGCGTTGAAGCGCCGAAATGTGTGTGCCACCGCAAATATACTCGGATTTTGATGTTTCTTGATTTCTTGTGGAACATAAAAATTATATATATTTACATTCCTTGACAACTCGACGTAACGTGCGTAGTTACATAAAATATTTTTGGACAAGTTTTAGATGTCTTAGTAAGTACCAGTAATCTCAGTACTAGCTAATCTCGGTTTGGCATATGCTCCTCCCGCGAAGGAGCAACGCGCTACTTAAGCAAAGAAGAAGAAGAAGAAGAAAATTGTATTACACTATTAAACAACTTAGAATTACATTTATTTCCATAATATATATATATATATTATTGCAGAATTTTATTGAAAAAGATATTTGCTGAAGTACTTACTTGAAGGTTTGCCATTTTTTGCACGTATATTTATACTGAATTTGTTTAATCCGATGTTTCAATGCAAACATCGGATTAAACGAATTTTATCTTTCACTATATGTATATATATATGTCATTATATATATGTTACCTATATATATATATATATATATATCTTAATATATATATTTCTTGTGTTCGTGTGTATGTCACTGAACTTCTCCTAAACGACTGGACCGATTTTGATGAAATTTTTTGTGTGTGTTCAAGGGGATTTGAGAATGGTTTAGATTCACAATTTGGTCCACTGGAAAA